GTTAATTATATTATATTATAATTAAATATTTAATAATAAATTAATTTAATAATTTATTATTTCATAAATAAAAAATTTAAAAAAAAATCTGATTTTGGTAATTTTAAACTTGTGTTCTTATTTTTGGAAATAGACTAAACTTATACTCTTGAATATGTAATCTTCCCTTATTTTATTTTAACTTAATGGTCACTTTTAGTACTAATGAACCAATAATTATCTTTAGGTGTGTACTGATGAATTTTCGTGTGTAACGATGAATTTAGTAAATTCACTCAAATTTACAACTCGTGTACTAATGAATTTAATAGCTATTTGTTTCCATTTTTATAGTAAAAATACATTTTGAATAATAGATTGATGGAGAACGTGTAGTTAAAAAATAAGAAAAAATTTTGAATTTGCAATATTATTTTTTTAAAAGAATGTGTGATTAAAAAAGAGACATAAAATAGGTATCAGACAAGGGCTTAATCAATTATCATTTCACCAAAGGTTATATGAATCTCTTTGATTACGTATATGATGACCATAATGATTAAATATTCTGCACTCATAGTGTTAATATTATTAGTCATACTCTGAACGTTTATTGATTTGTGTGTAGGATGATTATTGAATACCTAATTAAATATTTTTTTTTATTTTTTTACAAATTTTAATTTGATAATTTATCATGTTATTACTTTTGAAATAGTACAATTATACAAATATAACATTCCACTAAAAAATATACCATAAAAGAGTTAATATTTCTGAATAATAATTTGTTGTTACTATTGAAATAGCATAACATTATCTTATATTATATTAAAGAAGGATATCAGCAACATTCTTCCCGCGCCACTGCACCGCACATTGTTCCCGCCATTGCACCGCAACACTATTCCGCCACGCTACGCGAGACAAATTTTTTTATTCATTTATTTTCTCAATCATGATATTTGCAGGCTTTTTCACATCTCCATTTTTCAACTCCCCCACTGTACTTCACTTCATCGCCTCTCCTCCCATCCCATCCCACCCAACCTAACCCCCTACCACATTTACTTTTCATGATATTTGCAAGATTTGCATGATAATCACTAATTTGATTGACACGATCGAAAAAAGCAAAACACATTTTAAATCCAATTTTGTCCTCGCAAAAATGTTGTATATCAGCGTTTTCAACTCTCAGTGTTTCTCATATATTTTCGTTCAATATCAGACTCTTCTCTCATGCAAGTGATCGCCCCTGTTCTTTTTTTTACCGGTATCTACTTCATTTTTTGTTTTCGCAATCTAAGTTAAAGCTTAGCTTTTTTATTTCTATGTGCAGTAAGATGGCTCTCATAATAGATATGCTCACAGACATCGTTCTTACCAAAACCAAGTGGGCATTCCGTGTTCGACTCTGGGAAAATCCTACATTTGGAAAACTCGATGACATTTACAGCTTGGAAATGGTATTGATCGACAGAGATGTAAGTATATGAACTTGCAATTATTCTTGATTCTGAAAGTCATTTGTACTTGCATTTGAAAAGAAAAAGAAAAAATTGAAAACAGAAAACTTGCATTTGAAAAGAAAAAGAAAAAATTGAAAACAGTGCATCAGTATTTTTGTTATACAAAACAGTGCTTCCTCATTGACGTGTTTGACGGCGATGCTTCAATAAATCAGTACCTCCCAGTGTTTGAGAACCATGCTCCGAGAAACAGTTGTTATGAACTTATTAAAATGTTTCATATTGAACAGTAACCACTTAGTTTACGTAATAATATTAATAGAGCTTTCAACCTAATATTAATTGTTTAATCCTAGGTTATGTAGATTATTCATAATGAATTCAATGTGGAATGTGTAATAATAGGGCACTAGAATTCATGCATCGGTTCAACGCGACTTGATCAAGACATTTAAGCCCAGCATCCGTGAATGTCTCTTATATCTTATGCGTGACTTCGTCCTTGGTTACAACAATTCA